GTTGGTCTACATTAAACTCGGCGTGCGTGTGATTATACATATGTATACATATGTTTTTGTATATATAAATATGTATGTGTAAGTGTGGTCACTAATTAATTTATTTGTTTTGCTACTAAATATACATTAAAAGCCATTTGTAATGCAATCAATTGTGCAAATTAGTAAAGAACATTATAAATTAACAATAAAAGTACTCGTACATATGTATGTATGTATGCGTGTGTTTCAAACATTAAAATCACATCTTTTCGAATTTTAGTCCAAAATAAAGAATGGAGCTGTCTTCTTTATGAAATATCATTTCAGGATTAAATCATAATCCGAAAAAGGAAAGTAACTTCACTTAAAATAAGAAAAATAATTTTTGTCTTTTCTTGACTGTTTTCTTCTTGAGACAACTTACTGCAAGTCTAATAATTTTCTCAATATTTGACACCAAATTCACAGGAATTTCATTGTGAATGGTCAATATTATGAATGACAGCTGGGTTTTGCTTACATTAATTGAATGTAGAATAATAAGATGACAAAAAATATTTTACAAACAAATTTTGTATTAAAATTGACCTCGAATGGCGTAATGTACTGATTCTTACGATCCCTTCGAAACTCTAAGCCAATAATTTACCAAATAATTGGCATATAATTTTTCAAAACCATTTGTTAAAGATATAGATGAACGTGAAATCGAAAGTCTCATCAGCGGAGCCAAATTCTTCAAAATAGTGTCATCACACTTTCTAAGAATATTAATTTATAAAATTTAAAAATTTATTTATATATTTATTTTACTCCCAGCTGCCATTTGTGATTACGTTGAGGAGAGAATCAAAAAGTTCATCTTTCAGTCAAGCAAACAAATCTTTAAAAAGCATGTCTTGGCATGGGACGAGTTCGTTGCTTAAGTCTTTTATTTTGAAATCAGTAATAATGTGAAAAAGTCTGCGCTAAACATATATTTGAGGTTCGGTGATGTACTCCCACACGGCTATTCCGGCCGCCATCACAGCTTAATCAATATTAATTGAAGAATCTTTGAAAACACTTACTTTCTTCGAAAATAAATCACAAAATTAGCTATTACAAACTACAAAACTACTAAAAATATGGGAGAATTATTCTATAGCTGTTCGCTTACGTGCTTTATTTAGGTGTAGCTTTGGGTTAACTACACAAATCCACTAACTTAATTTTCATCAACATTTTCGAGCTTCACACACATATACAACCACAAATTAATGTCGCTTAATAGCTCTTGTTGATTGTTAAATTCCTCATAACACCGGTCTGGTTCATTTAACAGCGAAACGCACGTTGGAATCACGATTGATGACATCAAAATTTCAATAATTTATAAAATATTTTATAGAAATAGTCAAAAATGTAAGTACATGAATTTAGCTACTGACTGATAACGTAATTATATGTGTATGTGCATATAACTGCTGAGAAGATTAAACATGAGTTAGCTGGAGATGGTTTCGATGTACCACAGAATTTTTACAAACGTCTCTATGAGGCCTAAACAGATGCTTGGCTATTTCTATTTACCGTTGACTCTTATGGTCGTGGGAATTCTGTAACCAATAACCAGTTACTTTTATAAACGCCTTAAGCAGGAATTTCACTTTGCGCCTAATAACCGTTGAATATATGTAAATGCATACATACGTCCATTCTCTTGTTGTATACACACATACAGACAGGCTTAAATTTATTATGTATACCTCAAATTTTAGATTGATGTTGGCGTGCTTCTACTGCTACCCACAAACAACCATACAAATGCATTATGTGTCAGAGGACGCTGCTAATATTCATGTTCCCGACTAATTTTCCCAACAAAATAACCAGCGAATGCTGCATTCAAATCAAAACGAAAGTTCCAACGTTAGATCTGACATTGGCATTACGCCAGTAATTACTGCCACTTGACACCAACTTTGCTGAAATCTCTCACAAACGTTTAAGCGTCAAGCGGAGTGTGACCTAAAATTCTGTGCGAGTTCTTTTTTTTTGATTGTGTTTTTACTCACCACCGAAAATTCACTTCAAAGCAACTGATAATGGGTTGGGCTTCACGCCTGTACGCTTAACTGTTTGTAATGTGTTCTTTGTTTTTATGAATATTTATATGTAAATGTGTATGAATTATTCAACTGCCGGATTATATTGTTCTTTCTCCATGAATATATTTAACCTAGTTTCTTAATCTCTCGGCTCGCAATCAAATTTAATCGAAATGAATCATTTCTATATGTAAATATCTTGCGGATACTTACACTTCTTACTAATGTAAGTATGTATGTATGCCTGCGAAAACTTTTCTTTTTAAGAAATGTACATATACGAGTATGTGGTGCAATATGTATGAAACCAAAATAAAATTTTTTTAGGAGACAAGAAAAATTTCGTAGTGTAAATTGAATTGTGTCGAGCTAACGCCTCTTTGAGGACAGAAGACACTTTTGTAAATTGTACAGAAAGCATACAAAGCTCTTAAAAAAATAGGGACATTTGTTAGTGCTCGACTTAAACCTTGATACTCTCACGAGTACTTTCATATAAAAAACATGTTTTGTATCGCTTTATCTGATGATTGCTTCATATTGTCAGGCTGCCGCTCAGGTTCCTTGAATAGTTGACTTTTCGCTGAGTATATATTTAATTTCTATTTTTTCTTTGCTTAAATCCACTGTCGAAAATTGAAAATTTCAAAAAAAAAATCTCTTTTTGCTTTGTAAAGTATTCACAGAAATAATAAAATTTATTTATGGAAAATATTGCATTGCGTGAAGTATAAAAAGAAATCTATGTCCATATCTCTAACTGTATTCTCATATCTTTTATACATATCAGAACCTTTTTTTTTTTTTTTTTGAAAAAAATTTTTGGAAAAAATCGTATTTATAGTTCTTTTTACTTTAAAATCTTTTCTGACGGGAAGTGGACCGATCCGCGTGCGATTTGGTTGAATTTGTTGAATGATAGGACTAATGGAGCAGGGACCTGCAACAAAGTTCAATTTGCTCTAAATATTATATAAATAAAGGTTTTTCTTAAGGCAAAGAGATCACCGAAAGATCAACAAAAATGAATATGTTTCGAAGGTAAACATACTAGGTGTGTTCAAAGAGTATCGCGAGCTCGGCCATTTTGAATGTTCACTTAATTGTTGACAGCTGCTTTGCTTGCACGTATTTTGGATGGTCTTCGATTTTTACCTATTCAAAAAAATGGATCAAAGAACCTGTATCAAATTTTGTGTGAAAAACGGAATTAAGTGCGCGGATGCATTCCAAATGTTGACTGTGGCATACGGAGAAGCTACCTTAGACCGAAGCAACGTTTATCGGTGGTACAAAATGTTCTCAGAAGGTGGAGAATTTGTGAAGGACGAAGAGCCTCCCGGACGCCCAAGCACTTCAACAACAGACGAAAAAATTAATGAAATAGAGAAAATTGTATTGCCACAGGGTAGAACGGTCAATAAGGAATATTACCTGCAAGTTATGCGCAATTTGCGTGAAGCAATCCGCCAGAAACGCCCGGATTTGTGGAAGAACAAAAATTGGCTTTTGCACCACGATAACGCCCCTGCTCCCACATCGTTGCTTGCGCGCAACTTTTTGGCCAAAAACAACACACTTATGATGCCGCAGCCACCGTATCCCCCATATCTGGCCCCCTGTGACTTTTTCTTGTTCCCTAAACTGAAGAGGCACATGAGGGGCCGACGTTACGCTACGATTGATGAGATAAAGACGATATCGAAGGAGGAGCTGAACAACATACAAAAAATGAGTTTTTTGAAGTGCTCCGAAGATTGGAAAAACCGTTGGCCCAAGTGTATAAAATCTCATGGGAATTGCTTTGAAGGGGACGAAATAGATATTCATGAATAAATAAATAAAATAAATAAATAAATAATTTAAAAAAAAACACAAAATTCGCGATGTTTTGATCTGCTTGTACTTAATAAAGAATGCGGTAAAACGTAACTAAGGACACACCCTATAATTTTTAATACCCAATATAAGCCCAAACAAATTGTGCTCTAACTGAAGTAGGACAAAGTGAATACGCATAAAATGTAAATTGTTTGAGACAAAAAAAAAAAATTATTCACTAATAATGAGCATGTTTGCCTTTATATATGTCTGTATGTAAGTTGCCTTTCAAATAATGCACATTTTTTCAGTATATATGTATGTGTGTGAGAGCACATATAAGAAAATGTTTCCTCACGTTTTTCATACATATATTTCGCAATTTGTAACCGCTGAAACGATTTTCGGCCAAGCTCCTCCTCCAATTTGTGGTTTTGACCTGTAGTTTATACTACGCCAGCTCCGAACGGCTGATGGGCTTCCATACACTTGGGGGTTGACATTCCCTGCCGAGGGGCGACCGCAATTGGAAAATTTAGCTTACTTTTTTATTTAAATGAATTTTTTATAACTTTTTTGAGACTTTTCCTATAACTGGGATTTGAACTCGAGCCTTCCGAATGGCAGTACGCAATGCTAACCACTCGCCCACCCCGGCCGCCACGTTTTTCATACTCTTCAGAAATAAACGCAGATTTTTGTATTTCGATGAGGAATTTTTCTCTTCAAGAACCAAATATATATAGTTTTTTAAATACTGCCATTTACTTATATGTGTTTATAGTGCATACAATAAATATGTATGCATGTAGACGAGTGCAAAAGAACACATAAATAAAATATTAACCAGAAAATGTTTTACAAAGCGCGATACAGGTTTGCCATTGAAAAAGGAGAGACCATCGCGAATGCCAAGAACAACAGCAACAGTAAAAGCAACTGAAAACATGATGTTAATGGCCATTATATGTGGCTGCCTTGCACCAACACAACATAAAAATCTGTACGCTGCAATGTACGGTGTAAAGATGAAGAGTGAGAATACTCCATCATCATCCATTTTCTACACAATTTTCTCCCTGTTCGTTTTTTAATGAGGTCACTTACATTGGTTATGCTCCTCCAAAAGCACCGGCATGCCATTTTGGGTAGTGCGCGTTTTTTTTACTGTAGGTAAGCAAGTAGATAATTCCAAGAAATATGAAGACACAGTGCCACAGGCGCAGGGTGCAAGCTTCTTAAGTGTAAATGATTTTCTCAAATCGATTTTATATTATCAATAAATCTGTATGTATGTATTGGTATTATAATTATATGCACATTTACATAAAAATTTCTCAAATTCACTTTTCACTAACGATCACTTCGAACACACACACATGTGCGTTGGTAGTATGTGCATATGTACGTATGGAAATAGCTTTTTTCTTCTTGGATTCTTCTTTATGCGTTTCTCTTTTGAGCCAAGGTGTGTGTGTGTGTGTGTTAATGGTTAAAAATTCCAATTCGAATTCCGTTTCAAGCGCGCAAAGGAACGGCGGCGGAGTAAAACGTTGCTTTTGGTTTTTTGAAAAAACACGAACCGTACTAGTCGAGCGCTCACCTTAGACTGGCGGTTAAAATATCGTTAACGATTTCTTAAGCACTCGCCAGTGATTTGCAGCCCGTTCTTGTCCAACAGCTGCTCCGGCGTTGCTGGCTTAATGATTTGGCAGTTTGCCCGAGTCTGAGTTTGCAGGTTTTTGTGTCTGCGCTCTTTCTCTTCCACAGGAACTATATTTTCTTCTTTTACTTAATAAGTACAAGTGTATGTGTTATGAGAATGTGTGCGTTCATACTTAATACAAATTTCTTCATTGTATGTGTGTGAGTGTGTGCTTGTTAGGGTGGTGGAAAAAATAATTTGGTCTACCCATGCGACTAAATGGTAGAAAAAGTGAAAATTTCATAAATTTACTAAAATTTTCTACATTCAAAAAACAATAAAAAGTAATCAATTTTATTTTAATTTAACAATTCATTGTCATGGCCGCGAATTTGGCATTATTAAGAAGATAAGAGCTTGCCATTGTGTTTTAAGAATGATTCCGGTCAAGTGAGGTTCAATTTTCGACCACTTTTTGTAATATTTGCGGCGGTATGTGAGCAATAATGCGACAAATACTCTCTTCCAAGGCGTCAATCGTTTCGGGATTATCGGCGTAGACAAGCGACTTCACAAAACCAATTACAAAATTATTGCAGCGTTGTTAAGTTTCCCGATTTTACTATAATTATTACATTTCATTTCTTGGGTTTCATAAATTGGGTTTTTATTAGAGTATCAGGTGTACAACTTTGCATTCGCCGTTTTCCGATAGGTGGCTGTACCGGCTGAGGCTGGTTGAAATACATAGAAGGTAATGCCTTCAAAGTGAGTGTGGACAGTGCCTAACGAATTGTCATCGCCGTTTCAGTGACAGTTGTTCTTGTTTTCGTATTATTCACGCTCGAAAATGTCAGTTTAAGTCGCTCATTTTGACTTCCACCTATTCCGTTCGATGGCACACGGCCTGGCAGATCAACCTTTTCAATCCTTCGAAGAATTGGAAATATGGATTGCTTCACGGATAGCGTCAAAAGAGGACTCCTTTTTTTCGAGCCGGGATCCGAAAATTGCCGGAAAGATGGGAGAAAGTTGTCGCTAGCGAAGGACAATACTTTGAATAATATATCTGTAAGTACTTTTTCGCAATAAAGCTTTTAATTTTGGCACCCATGTATCGAGCTTCAAAGTGTACCCAACCTTTTTTAAACGACGAAACGCAGTTGATTTGTTGACGTTCAATTCACTGGCAACCTCTTCCGTCGAAATACGTGACTAAAGTCCTTAGAACATCGTCATCAAGCTCAGAAGGCCGTCCACTGCGAGGTTGATCTTCGAGGTTAAAATCTCCAGAACGAAATTTCGCGAACCATTTCTTTACTGTGCGGAGTGCTGGAGCACGGTCCAAATAAACTTCGCGAATATCTTTAGTTGCAGCGCCTACTGTTCTTCCTTTGCGGAATTCGGATAACATAATATGACGCATATGATCTTTTTTGTTGTCTATCTTCCATGCGTCTCTTCACTAAGCAACTCAAATCAAAATTAAGTTATTTTATGCTTGATTTACAGTTCGGATTGTCACCATCCCAACGATATATAATATAATATAATATGTATATATTTCTTTCACGAGCGCCACTCTCAAGCGATTCGAACGGCAAAAGCGGGATCGGGCACGAACTTATGCACTCATCCAATATATAACAAAAATTTTCTCACATGATGATTACGGTACGCTTCTGCATCCGACATGCTATACACACCGTCTTATGTCCCTTTAAAAAGAAAAATTCTTAAGACTTGCTTGCGCTTTCAAACATTTCAATCAAAAAATTTCATTTATTCACCCATATGTACCAAAGAACATAAATTTAATGAAAATAGAAAAATATTTTTCTTTTGAAATAGTTTTCGGGTGGCATTATTACATATATATTTGGACTACCTTAACGTTCTTACACACAAAAACACCAATTTTTAAAATGCTATGGGTGTATTGAAGTTGATAATTTCTGGCGTGTCATTTTCCAGTTCTATCAGCAATGCTAGTGAGTCTAATTAAATTTTTTTTTTTAAACGACAGTTATGTTACGAGCAACAAAAAACAAAAAAAAAACAGTTTACATACGTAATCGCATAATAATAATAATAAATAAAAAATTACAATTTTTAAGTAACTGAATCATGTGACAACAATAAAACATAAAGCATTTAAATGCCACTGAGTAAAAGTAAAAATTACGCGTACTTACATTATTCATACGTGTACATATGTACATACATACTCACTTATGCATTTCTTATTTGCACCAACAACTGCTTTGCAATGTAATAAAACATTTCTTCTGAAATTTTTTGACTTTTTTTAGCCCTTTCTGTGCAGCTTACCAACTTAAGGCGTTGTAATACGTAAACCGGAAGAAGACAAACAACAATTAACATATGTAGGTATATTATGTACCGTTTTGTTTGTTTGGCACTTAAGTTGTAAACGATAGTCCTCTTTCATTTTGGGCAATATCAGTCTTTCCAAATGATCGAAAAAAGAGCTTTCTTTATACTTTTCTTGACCACATCACATTTCTGGTATTTCATTTTTGAATTTTTGGATCAATTGATTATTAATTCTTATATCTGAAAATCGGTTGGAGGGTGCTATATGATGAAGTTTTCCAGTATCGATGATTTTTGCTGTCAATGTTTATTTGTGTACGAGTGTAGAATATCGAGTTTTACGCTTTTAAAAGCTTTCGTCACCAAACTTATATCTGAAAAAATCGGTGAAATTTGTTGAAGCCTCAGATGGGCCAATTAATTGCTAAGTTACGTATCCCTCGAGTGAGAAATGTGTCTCTCCGCTGAAGAAAATTTTGTTCGAAAAATCACCGTCCACACTGTATACGTTCGGGTCTTCGGCTACACTGTGTTATTTGCGGTTGGACGAGCAAAACGATAACGTAAAGGCCGATCCAGTGTCTTAAAATTTCTTGAAAATTTTATCAATTGCTTGAGTAGTTAAATCCCATTTCTTAAATGCCTGACTTTTAACTAAAACAAAACAATTTCGATTCGACGACCGATGTCAAAATAAAGTCCAATATTTTTTAAAACAAGGAAATGGATAACCGTATATATGTTGTAGTGGCTTCTGGAATGCCCCAACAAATGATCGTTTAAATGTACCCGATCGATATAGATTTTGATGGATTTATCTCTTTTTCTTCTTACATGCTTCGGACCGAAGTTCATATACCATTTCTTGTACATGAAAAGTATAATTTTATCTTTTTAATCTTCTCTGGCCCTGTTTAAGAAGTAGTAATTATTAAATATTTCTCATCATTTTTGCTGATGACAGATGCATAAAATCGTTTAATATTATTTTATTCGTTTTGAAGAAGAGAAAGCTAACGAAAAGGCTCAGAGTCTGAAACCTGCCCCATATCATATGAACGGCAGCCAATATCAACGGATTTGTTGCGCCCAAGAAGCTTCCGAAACCATTGATTTGAAAAAATGTTGCACACTGAATATCGGGTTTTAATGCTCGCTGAGACTGGGATCTCCTTATCCTAAGTGTGCTCTGTAGGTTTTTGTTAGGCTCATCATCACCATCACTTCCTGTTCTCAACAAAAAAGTGGAGTTTGAATGAGTGATTTATTTCATAACCCTTTGGTTTGCTGGGTTATCTATGCAATAATATGTACATATGTACTGTATTTCATTATTTACATTTCGAAAATTTCACCTTGTACGCGACAATTTTAACAATAATTTATTTTTTTTTTATTTTTATTGTTATTTTTATTTCATTTTTGATTTTTTTTTTTTCTTTTAACCAAAACCTAAGGAAGCAGTGCAATGAAACGGAAAGCGTTTCTTATTTGACAATTCAAAATCGGGCAGGTGTAAGGTAAAATACACTATGAAGAGTTCCTTTTTAACGGCAATGGCATTATATGTATCTTTTCAAGCTAAATTTAAAAGTATTACCACTAATTGAATGGTGAAGAAAGAAGCGCCGGAGCCAGAGCTCTAATAATACGTGTATGTGCGAAAGAAATGTGCTTTTTTGTGAGCAAAATGCATGTCGAAATGGGAAAAATAATTAATATCGATACCAATTTAGGCGTAATTTGTTAATTTCATTTCCATTTTATTTTATTTTTTTTTTTGTGTTTTAATGAAATGGATGCTGGGAATGGAAAGTGAAGATGATAAATAATGAATGGTGTGGGTTGTTACATAACGGTAAACAATTTTTAAACTTTAATGGGCACTAACTGACCGTTATATTTAACTCTTTAACTTCCGCTCATGTTGGTAAATACAATAAATATGTATTATACATATAATATATGTACACTCTGCGACATTAGAAATTTTAAAGTTTATGTATTAAAAAAAAAACCCATTGCGAAAATAGCGGTCTCCCCTCGATAAGGATGGTAAACAATCACCAAAAGCCAAAGAAAACGCGGCTGGCTCAAATATATTCCAGCTGAGAGGCTTAATTTTCAATCAAATTTCCTTCCAAAGTGATTTTAGGTGCATAATTTTTAACTATGTATACAATATCTACTGTCATCTTACTGTCGGGTTCGGAAGCTGAACCACTGAACCACCACCTAGGCCCAACAGGCAAGAACAAAATGGCATACCGACAGGCTTCAAACGCCATTCACTGAGGGTCTGTCCACACCTTCATAAACTTTCTCCCTTGAATTGCGCACACGGAACCCAACCATCACTTATTGCAGCCCAAAGGCTCAAGCTGCCACGAGACACCCGAATAATGCTGTCACGGTTAAGGTATGGTACCTGTACAACATTCATTACCTCTGCATGTGCTTTAAAATCGATTGATATTATATAAAACTGTTTCAAATATTCTTATGCCCCTGCGGGGTAGGGGGTCATATAGAAGCTAAAGAGATGCTCAGGTCAACGATTTCCAAAATATATGGAACACTTATCCAGCCTGCTCAATGAAAAATGCCCGGGGTTAGGCACACAAGGTCTTATCTATTGGGTTGCCCAAAAAGTAATTGCGGATTTTTTAAAAGAAAGTAAATGCATTTTTAATAAAACTTAGAATGAACTTTAATCAAATATATATTTGCCATTTTGTTCGATAACCTTTTGCCATCTTCCTGGCAAATTTAGTATTCCACGCTCATAGAACTTCTGGCCTTTATGTGCAAAAAACTGAACCAAGTGCGATTTTATAGCCTCATCGTTGCCGAAAGTTTTACCATTTAAGGAGTTCTGCAAAGATCGAAATAAATGGTAGTGTGATGGTGCAAGGTCAGGGCTATATGGTGGATGCATCAAAAGTTCCCAGCCAAGCTCACTCAGTTTTTGGCGAGTGACCAAAGATGTGTGCGGTCTAGCGTTGTCCTGGTGGAATATGACACCTTTACGATTGACCAATTGTGGTAGTGTATTGGGTGAAAGATTCCGCGAGAAAAGTATCGAAACACAACACCCCCTCGTTGTTATTAAAGCTGTCTTCAATGGGAGGGAGGGGAGCTGCCTTGACGTCCATACGTCTGAATTTGGTATATGTATCTGCAAAGCTATATATGTAGCTGTGTGAGCTGACGCTGAAGAATATCAGACAACAACAACTAACTATCTAACGTCATCAATGAGACGCCTAAAGAAAAAATAACTAAAAAATGTGAAGCAAATATTTCACTGTGGTCATATCATTAGCTGTTTGTGTAAATATGTATACTCATATAAGTATATAAATATTAATTGAACAAATGTTGAACGTAAGTTCAAAGATTTTCACATTTTCTTCGTAAACATAATAAAAACCATACATATATACATATGTACATATGTACATGCATAAACATAAGACACATTTATGTATATGGCGCCGTGTGCATATCTTTATCAATATAAACGTGCATAAATATTGTATGTAAAGCATTTGAAATTATTTGTGTTACCATTGTCAACTTGTTGAATGATGAGAAAGTTGCCGTTGCCGTTACCGTTGCTGTTGCTGTTCCTGTTGCTGCTGCCCCAACGTAATTGCACTCCAGATATTGTTTTTTTTTTCATTTTTTTTTTTTATTTGCGAGCAAATTGAATCAAATACTTATTAGTATAACAAATTAACGCAAACGATAAGATACTTGTCTGCCACTACACAGCATAACATACAGTTGTATGTATGTATTTTTTTTTATAAATACATGCTCTTATGTATGTATATATGTTAACTGTATTTTCAACACGTTTTACAACTTTTCTTTTGTTATGCTGCACAAATGTATTTTGTTGATAGCATTACGAGCGTTTATGTAGTTTCCCTCGCTAAAAGTTAACTGCTAAAATCACTGTTACAAATTTGGCTTAGACCCCCGGAACTACTTACCACCAGAGCACATACATATACACAAGTACCTACAGAGATTCATATATATGTATGTACATGAATATGTTATGCTAAAAATTGTGCATTACATGTATGTACACGTATGTATGTCAGCATGCTCATACATACCTGCTCGTCGTAAGTACTTTGATGGAAGCGACAGCAATTGGCTTCATTAAACACTGTCTAAATGTCAACAAGAAATCCGTTATATTGAAATTATTACGATTTGTCTGCGTAAAAAAAAGAAAAGCATTAAGAAATTGGGGGAAAACAAGTGTTTGAAAACAATAACCAAAACTGTACATTTGCACGCGCAACCAAAATGGCATTTTCAAGCAAAAAATACAAAGCGCATGCGTCGCCAAGATATTCAGCGAAAGTAAGTGAACGAGTTTTAATGGCTTTGTCTTTGGCAAATGACCAAAAATGACCATACCATTGCCACAATGATTTTCCATTGACAGTTTACACTTTTTTTAGGGAAGTTAACCGTATAAGGGCGAACAAATGATTTTCCATTGGCATTGTCGTTTATTATATCCTTAAGAAATTACGGAAGCTATAAGTGGAAAGTAATGCTGACATGTGCAACTAAACGCGTTTCGTTAAAAGACTGATTTGCAAACAAACTTCGAAAAACAGTTAAATGTCTTAAAAGCGGGTTTTTGAAATATATCATATATGTACTATGTATGTATTTGCTACTAAAAATATACAAAATAATTCCGAAACTGAAAAATGGTTATCACCATGTACTAACCGTCCATTCCATTTTCAACAAATAAATACAAGCATTTTTTGTCTGAGTTCAAATGTACATTTATAAATATATTTTTATTTTATGCATTCAGATTAAAATTGCGGTTCTTAAAGTTATCCTAATAAATAATTTTGACACCACATAGTACCAAAACTATCCTAGAAATTATTGATCAATTACAGTTAAGTAATTAAATATATATTTATGTATTTTTTAAGTCATTCTCATTTAGATTAGTGAAACAGTTGTGGTTTAATAATATTATTATCATATTTAATAGTCACATCCAAAGCATACATTCATACATATTGTAGAATTATGTACAATGCAGATGTATTCTGTATACCTAAACTAAGCTATAATTATATGTATGTATACCTTAAAGTTTTACGTTAATTAACATTTATGTTATCATATAAAGCAAGGATGCTTATTCAAATTTTATTGAGTTCACACCCATGTCAATTTGACCCCCTCGATAGCTTCCACGCTTCTTCTTAGTTTTTTCATGCTTGAAAGATTTTCCACGTGTATACTTCAAATCTTTATTCGCACGGTCACCCCACGAGCCATGCGCATTTTTCTGTAAAGCATTAATATTAAGTTTTTTTTTGTTTGTTTAATATTTTGTCAATGCAAAAAAGACACATGCGCAAATAGAATTTAAAATTGTCGGTGAAATGTAAACGAAATTGTTTTATCCATTGTGAAGCTTAAAAAAATTTGCGCATTCTCAACTCTTAATCGTCGAATGTGATCTTTTTATTTTGTGACCCCGATGAGTCAAATGATTTGTTGAAGGGTTTATTCGCGCCACCGAAATTGCCACGTCCTCTGCCGCCAAATCCACCGCGGCCACGGTCGCCGCCACCGCCGCGACCGCCACCTCCAAATCCGCCTCGGCCGCCGCGTTCGCCACCGCCAAATCCACCCCGGCCACCGCCAAATCCGCCTCTGCCGCCGCGATCACCACCGCGACCGCCACGACCACCACCACCACGTCCGCCACCACCGCGACCGCCGCTACCATTTTCAAAACCGCCAAATGATTTTCTATCTCCAAACTTCTGGAAGCCACCTTCACCGTCGCCGCCGGCACCGCCACCTCGGCCGCCACGGCCACCCCCACGACCACCACCGCGACCACCAAAGCCGCCGCCGCCACCACGTCTGTTCTTAAAGTCTTCGCCTTCACTCTATTTTGTTCACAAATTGTTTTTGCGTTTTGGTTGAAGAAAGTCAAGTATGGATTGCACATGAAAAAGGAAACACAAATTATTTATTTTTTAATTAAAGCCAAATTGAAATAGCTATCAATGAACAGTAGCTGTTCGGATATCAGTCTTATTGCCAATTTATTGCAAAAAAAAAAAATAGTCTTAGTTCACAATACAAAAATTCAATGAAAGATTTTTTCAAGCAAATTTGTCTTGGATTTTTTTAAATTCCACAAGAATTGGATATAAGACTGAGTGTAAAAATGAAAGTTTTGAATATAATTGCATTGAGGTTTTATGTCAAAGGCATAAATCCATCGTATATAAGTAAGTGCCTCAAACATGAATTTATACCGATTTTTTTGATAATTTGTGAATTCCTATTTCAGCTGCGCGATATTCACTGAACAAGAACAATTTCGTCGTACATTTCACCCAAAATATGTATAAACACCATTTGAGGCACTTACCTTTGCTTCGAAAGACATATCTTTTACACGCTCATCTATCTCTACCTCCTCCTCGCGCACTCTTCTAAATGGCGTATTTTTCCTTACTTCACCATTCGATTTTCTTTGCTCATTGAATTTTGGTTTACCATTAAAACTCGGTGTAGATGAAAACCCATTTTGCTGTGACTTTAAAAAATTTTCAATAATTACTAATCAAGTATAAATTTAGGTTTTTGGTGAAATTCACAAGTGATTTCATTTAAAATGCATGGATGAGTTGATCCGTATAAAAACTTGCTCTTAGATTAATATTTTTTTTTCCTAACTTCACGGTAGCAGAATGTCAAGTATATTCTTTTTTTTTTTTGCCTGGAAACCGTCCTTATTTAGTTAACAGAATTTTTAATACTTTTAAGAACTCGTTAAAATTTTCTAGTTTTCTTTTTGTTAGGGTGCCAATTAAGAAATAACAAATACTTTCAAAAGCTTTACTCAACCTGGGACCTTGCATTTACCTCAATTAATTTTTAAGCTTTCAATTTTACCATGTTATAAGTGAATATTTTCTTTTCTATTACCTTGCCTTCTCCGCTTTTAACGAAATTACTGTAATTTTTGTTAGACTGATTTCCGCCGGCAGAGGGGGCATCGAATTTTCGCTTTTCACCAACTTTTGGTTTAGGCTTCTCTTCTTCCTCGTCGTCATCGTCATCATCTGAGCTTTCTTCTTCTTTTTTTGCTTTAGCTGGTGCCAAAGCCTTGGGTTTAGGTTTTGCCTTTTCCTCTTCATTATCATCGGAATCGCTGTCTTCACTTGAAGATTTTGCTTTCTTGCTTACCGCAACCGCTTTAACCGCACCGACTGCTTGTTTCTTAGCTGGTGGTTCATCGTCGGACGATGAATCTTCAGAACTTGAGTCCTTCTTTTTAGCGGGAGCAGCAACAGCCTTGGCTAGTGCTGGTTTCTTAGCTGGAGGTGCTTCATCTTCTGATGAACTGTCTTCTGAACTGCTCGAAGCCTTCTTAGCTTTAACAGCAACTACGTTCTTTTTAACCGCTGGTACAACTGCTGCTGTTTCCTCATCACTTGAACTATCATCAGAGCTCGATTCCTTCTTAGCAACCTTTTTGGCAGCTGGTTTAGCATCCTCGTCAGAACTATCTTCTTCACTCGACGATTCAGCTTTTGTAGCCGGAGCTGCTGCTTTTACAATGGGTTTCTTTACAGCGGCAGCTTTTGGTTTTTCGTCTTCACTGTCCGAATCAGAGGAGCTAGCTGCTTTTGCACCAGGCTTAGTTTTAGAGGGAGCTACCTTAGCGGGTTTTCCTTCTTCTTCGCTTTCCTCAGATGAGCTGTCTGAATCATCCTTCTTCTTCTGCACTGGAGCAACCTTTGCAGGTGCTGATTTCGCCGCAGGTTTCTTCTCCTCTTCATCACTATCACTATCTTCGGAACTGTCTTCCGATTCTTCTTTTTTAGCAACTTGTTTGACCACAGGTGCTTTTGCAGTCTTAGCTTCTTCTTCACTGCTGTCAGAATCTTCATCACTATCAGATTCTTGTTTTTTCTTCGGTGCAGCCTTGCTTAAAACAGCAGGCTTTGCTGGAGCTTTAACTTGAGGTTCATCATCGGAACTATCATCACTGGAAGAACTCTATAAGAAATTTAAATAAATATATATATATTTCTTTTTAAATCACTTCTATATTGATTATATTTATATATTTTTTTATATACCTCTTTAGCTTTCTTTTGTACAGGTTTGTTAGCATTAGTTTTGGCTGCAGGCTTCTCATCTTCAGAGCTATCTTCACTGGAAGATTCCGCTTTTTTAGCTTTAGGTTCGGGTTTCTTTACAGCTGGTGCACTTTCTTCCTCTGAACTACTGTCTTCTGAGCTAGACTTCTGTGCTTTGGCTTTACCTGCATTACCTTTACCATTTGTCAGTGCAACTGCTGGCTTCTTACCCTGTGGGGTAGGCGCTTCTTCTTCATCTGATGAACTATCATCATCGCTTGAGTTACCTGCCACAGGTTTAATAACAGGCACATTCTTCTTATTACTTTGTTGATAGGTCTCAATTATTTGCTCCAACTTCGGGAAACCCTTACCTACAGTACCCTAAATTATGACAAAATATATACATACATAAATATCGCGACATAACACGAGATTTTAATGAATGAATAACATACCGCATTAGTTTTTTGTTGAAAAACTTTAGCCAAGTTCTTGTCCCTTTTCTTTAAATACTCTAGCACAAGTGCTGATATTAATTGTTCATTTGTAGCCATTATTTTGATCACTTCTATGTCACTTAATTATAGAATAACTACACGAATATAAACGTGGAACCAAAACCAACACGTGCTAACACCGCTGAAATATCAAAGAACAATATAGCGTGTAGAATAATTCAACTTACAGAGTTGTATTTGGAAATAAATGTGGCCGACGATGATGCCATATAAATGAAATAATTAAAAAGTTATTTTTGCTGTTATCCCGCATCTACACCTGACATGAACACGACTTTTTTGCAAGCTGACAGTCCAACAACTAAAAATCACATTAGCGTTGCTTTGACTCTTGGCATTAGGCCCTGGCCCAATGCCAGCTGGTTTTACTTGTCTTGCCAAGAAACTTGTCAAAATAGAAAAAGACCAAAAGTGACTTTGCTTTAAGAACTCGAAGCACTGTAAGGTTTTGAGAAGAAATATGCTCTAATCGTTGTTGCATTGTAAGGTGTAACAAGAATAAAAATTTTAAATAAGCTGTTACCTCGAATATTCGTAAGGGAGATATATATACATAATTACTTGCTGACCTAAAGGGGGTTAGTTCGCCGAAAGGATGACAGCTCTTGGTCAAATAAAATCCGGGTCAAACCTGTTGATCCAAACGGGGCTAGATCGCCGAAATGGTGACAGCTCTTGGCAGGATAAAATCCGGGTCAACTCCGGTGCGTAGAATCGGCTGTCGTGAACGCCATTCACCAGGAGTCAGTCAACACCTTCAAGGACTCCCCTCCAGTGAATGACGTACTCGGAGAAAAACAACTACCTATTGCAAAAAACGAGCTCGAGCTGCCTCGAGATACCCGCGGGACCCTGACACAACTTAGGACTGGATATTGTAGCAGGTTAAACTCCTACTTATCCAACGTATGCCCTGCATGTGGAGAGTCTCCGCACGACGCTAACCACCTTTTCACATGCCCTCTCAAGCCAACTCATCTAACCTTCCTCTCCCTCTGGTTCAACCCCGTCGAAACAGCTCGTTTCCTGGACCTCCCACTAGATGACCGTTGCATCTTAAATAGAAAAAAAGCGTGATGCAGTACCGACTTTCACCTGACACGGTTTGTTTAGGCTTTTAATTATATACATAGCTACGCCTATATCCAACTAAAGCTATTGCGTCATAGTCTTACACCTTTGTGTGAGGTACGACAAACAATGCTTTGGTACCTTTGTTCACACCTAAAAGAGATAGAGCTGGTGAAGCTCCTCGAGCATATTCGACGTAAGGGTTCACTGAATTCTAATTGTAGTCTGTTCACAAGAGGAAGAGGTATTCATTGGCTTATCTCTTCTTCTCGTCGAAAAAAAACTGTGGCTTCGTTTAAGAAACTCGATTTCAGATCATGCACCTCAAATGTCTGTCCCTCTAATTTAGAAGATGCTGCTCCAGGTTTATAGAATTAAGGCTGAAATCCCCACGTCTCTAAGAGACGCAATAAACGGAAGGTTAGTACATTTTACATTTAACAGGACTGGAGAATTCATCCAGCTACAGGCTGTAGTAATCAACTCGGTCGGTGTTCAAGACGTGTAAGTATCAATCTAACGACAAGGCCGAAAGTAAAGCTGGTGCGATTATGATGTGTACCCCCTAAATATTATTATCATATATTCAAAAGCTTTTGGTTTTCTTTTAAGTTTTATTTTTTTAATGTTTAATTTTTTATAAACTTAAGACTTAAAATTATAAATTATTTGTGTTTTTATATCTTCAGTTTCACAAAAAATGTCCAAACATTTGACGTCTTCTTCTGTTGTTTTCATTTTTAAGGATAGAGTGTTTTCATTGTTAAATAGTGTTCTGGTGGTTGCAGTGTTGTAGATGGTGTTGTTTTTGTTCTTCTCCAGGAAGGCATCTCTTACGAACGCAGCAAAGACAGCTTCCCAATTAGTATTTATTCAAAAAATGCCGGGACCTGTCACTGCTGCACCCTTTTTATTTCCTCTACGCAATACATACTAAACTACACAACATCTGCTTGACTACAAATAAACTTTCGACGTACTATTATAATAATAATGAGTCGAAATGACGCTACGCTTCTTAAATTGTAGCAATTTACATGCTCTTTTCGATCTTGATGAGTTCAGTGATGCCATCGTACATCTCCTTGACGGCTTGGTATTCGGTGAGACCCATACGGCGCTTGTTGGAGATATCGTAGATACCGCCCTCAGCCTCGGTGTGTTCACCGCGAGTACCGCGCACTTGCAAGTTGTATTTGCCAGCAACTTCTTCCAATTTGGCAAGGTTGGCAGCCAATTTAGGCAATTTAATGTGCACAGACGCACGGATGGTGGTACCCAAGTTGGTGGGGCAGAAAGTCAAGAAGCCTAAACGATCATCATGACTGAATGGAACGCGCTTCTCAATTTCATTGACGGCATTGGTCAGACGACGGAAAACTTCGCCCAAATCACCACCCATTTGCATGGAGATGATACGCAAATGATCTTCCTCATTGCACCACACCAGGAAAGTCTTGTTGTCGTTGTGGTAAATACCACGACCAGATGGCCAATAACGGCAAGCGTTGGCGGCTTGCAAGAAACGATCACCCTCCTTGAACAAGAAATGATCATCGATCAATTGTTGTTGAACTGATTTCTCCATGCCAGTCAATGGGTAGAATTTGCCCTTCAACTCTCCCTCCAAACCAGACAAAGTGGATGAGACCTTCTCTTCCATCTCCTTGTACTGGGCTTCGGATAGACATGGGTTGAATGGATAACCCTCCATGGAGCGACCGCAACGCACACGTGTAGAAATAACAAATTCATTGTTGGGATCCAAATTTCCGAACGAGTTTACATCACCAAAGTCCTTGGCGGGGTGTTTGTCGGTCTTCTTGAAACCACCATGGTAATCCTCAATGATGGGATCGAACAAATCAGCGAAGACGGTGTAAGCCTCAGCATCAGGAGCATAGATACCGACACCGGAATCGTGATTGGCCAAACCAGATTGAATGACATCCAACAAAGTTGAGCCGAAAGTGGGGGTCTTCTTGTTCTTCAAGTTGTCGAACACTTCCTTGGTCAAGTATTTCTTCAATAATGACTTGGAGTCAGAGGCAGCCAACTTGGCGAAACCATCTTCCAATTTAGCAAGAACTGCAGCGTCAACCATGATGTTTAATTTTCTGAAAGCAAAAAAAAAAACAGAAAAAAGAGAAAATGTAATGCAATTCTATAATATAAATACCCATATGTATGTATAAAATCAGATATTTTATTTAAAAATGCACAAATTTAATTTATATGAATTACTTGCACCAGTCCGCATAGCAGGAAAGTGCGGTATGCTCGACACGCACTCGGTGGACTAATAGTGGTCGAATTTTGATAAGCAAGCGCATTTTCTCAGCTTTTATTAGTAATTTTGTTACAAAAATTATTAAAAATAAATATTTTATTTGAAGCATTTATTTAACAAAAAAAAAAAAAAATTATTTTATATTCAAGAGTTTCCAAGCCGAAAAAAATTTTTGTAAAAAGTTTATTTTTTTCTTTCGATTGTTCACATCATTTGGTCTGTGGTCTGTGGCTAGCGCAAATACATATATACATTTGTGAGAAGATAGAAAAAAACACAAAACGCGCGACCGACCGGCTTTTGTCCTGCCTCAAACCAACTTTAATAGCATGTTCATATGTATAGTTGTCACGCATGCGGTCCAAATTAAGGGCGGTTAAGAGGAAAATGCGATGTGTATCTATTTTCTCTCCTATTTTATTTTAAGTTACCCCAATTCCGAAATATTCGCGCACACATTGAAATATATGTGTTTGCAAAAGAGATTTTATGTACGTTAGGGTGAACCAAAACTACCGAGTTTTTGAAATTTCCTACGACTACTGCAACAAAATTTCGAATGGGAAAATTTTTTAACATATAGAAATAAAATGGTAAAGGTAAAGTTTTTACGGAATTTCATTCATTGATACAATGGTTTTTTGTTTTTGTATTCTTGGTATTACCGCGCGTAAATTTGCCTTTGTCGTGATTGTTAAGATAATTTTTCAATTTATAAAATTATGATTTTGTTTTTGTGGTTTCCGCGAAAAAAGTGTGAAACAGAGAGTTTATGTATTTCCAGGCGCCAAATTAACTTTCAATGATTTTGACAGCCACTACGCCAAGACGAAAACAAAGTACACGGTGCTCACCTTTATTAGCTTGCCGAATTTCAAATACTTTTCTGACATTCAATTCACAATGATATTGTATATGAATAAAAAGGTCAATTTTTCACAAAGTGAAATTCCTTTGAACTACCCTAATGGTTTTAAACTCTGCATATGCATGTGTGTATGACAGTTGCGGAATTCACATTGCGTATCCACCCAAAAAGAGACAAAACTTCACGAAATTTTTAAATCACAAACTGTGTAGTGACTCATTTCACAAATGTTGTAAACTAATTTAATAGATCCTTTTAGCAGGCGTTGTTTCAACGTTTCCGGATTGGCAATTATTATATGTATATATGTATGGGGGTGGATGTGTGCGTGTCTAAAAACGCTTTAGCAGAAATAGAGTACTTTTAGGCGCTTGTGAAAATGTTTTTGATAGTTAAAAAGGACAAGCCTGCTTAAAGCTGAGTTGAAATTTGTATAGTAATTTTATTTTTAAATAAATATATATGTATACCGTGAAACTTCCCATAAGGATTTTTTGCCAATAAATAAATATCAATAGAGGAGCTCTCGTTTATCAGAGGTGAATTTGCATGGGAAAAATTTGAGAAGGGACTTGAAAAAGTGTGCGCTTAATAGAGGTGCCCATTAACGGAAGTTTCACTCATATCTTATTGTTTGATTTTTCGTTAAAAACTTTATAAAAAAAAATAATAATTAATATTTATACAAATGGATGAAATATCGAAAATTCACTCATTTCATTATTTTTCTGCTTTGCAAATTTCTTCTTCTTCAACAATTTGCAAACACGCCTTCAATATGTGATACACACCCTTCGTTGTTGATCGCGTCGCCATTCGCCGTAGTGGCCGAAGGCTCTGCAGTTGTGTTTGCAGCAGCTTCCTCGCCATTTTCGGCCGCCTTGTCTGTGGCAGCAGCAGCGGCATCCCCATCAACCACTGTATCCTTCTTATCCTTCGAAGCACAACCACCCATTATCGCAGACTATCTTTTATGATTTGATTTACTTTTTCCGACTACTTTTGTACAACAGTGGGATATCTCGTTGGTTTGTTTGCTTTTTTTTATCTACTTTTTACGCGTTTTTGCTACTCTCTCTCTCTCTATTTTTCGTTAGTAATTGCAAATTTATTTATTTTGTTTTGTGTTTTTAATGTGCAGAATTCAATAAATATCCTACAGTTGTTGTGGATATTTGTTGTTGTTGTTGTAGTTGTATGTATTACAGTTGTTGCACTTATCCTCGCTTAAGGTTAAATCACAAAGTTTCGTTTACTTTTTGTTTTTTGTCTGTTTAATATGATTCACCACCACTTTGGTTGGTCAAAAATTAATTTTTTTTGTTTTTTTTTTTTGATATTTTAAGTTTGAATACCGCAAAATTGCAGCGTTTGATTATTCGATTTATTTATGTTTTATTAATTTATATTAATTAAATTGTTAAGTTGAAGCCAATAGGTTAGTTTATTGATTATATTCTATCTTTCCTCTATTTAGCTTTGATTTATATATGTATGTATGCATGTACGTCGTATATATGTATGTATGTATGTATATTTTGTACATAAAAATTTGTTAAGAGAATTCGTTAAATATTTGTTTTCTTTAACTATTGCTTAAGTTCGAAATGAAGTACAAATCCATATATTTATATATATATATATATATATATTGTATATACGTATGTATATACGTAGTAATTCGATTAAAGAAAATATAGGCGTATCCCACTATAGAAATGCTTATACACGTACATATGTATGTATGTATATATGTACACACTAATTTTTTTTTTTATATTTTAAGCATTTGTCGTTGTCGTTTAACAGATTTAACTGGTGATTTTCCACTGTCCGCAATAGTCGTTCTTCCGCCCGGTTATAGCTGACCGTAGTAGTTACATATGTATGTATGTAGTTTAGTGAGTTGATGGTGGGTTAGTTGTAGATTTCTTTTCAAGTATATTAATTACTATTTTTTTCTTTTGTAAAAAGTTTGAAAGTTTCTTTGATTTCGTTGCTTAATGGCGAAAGGACGTCTGACTTATGTATGAATGTAGATATTATTTCACTTAAAATCTATTAGCTTTTATAAAATTTCTAAAATTTTCCAAAAATTTCTATTTCTTAATTTCACATAGTTTGTGCGTTTTTGTTGTTTAATTTGTTCTTTGTAATTAATTCTTAATTAAACTTTGGTTTTTTTTCTACAGATGTTACAATTCTCGTAGAATTTCTAATTTCTCAATAGAATTTCTAATGAATAATTTTTGCACTCTTCAATCGCATACAATTTCTGTTATTTCTATTTTCTTGTGAAAATTTCCTGCAAATTAAATTGCAACTTTTTTCAGGTTTAATACTTTTTTTTTAATAATATAAATATTTGAGAAAACACTATTTTTTTATTACAAAAAACTACACACGTCCGTTTTCATGCCAAGCGTTGCAACAAGAGTAGACGACGACGCGCTATCATGAAAAATTCGTTTATTTGTGGCCGCCGCGCCCAAAAGTATACTTCAGTTATTGCTGTGTACAGCTATGATTTGGGTAATGTAATTTGATTTGGTCGCTTTGTACATATGCACAGCGAAAGCGAGAAACTGACTATACCAAAGCTGGCTGGTTGGTTGGCGATTTGCCGACGACGACAGACGAACGCATTCGGAAATTTTAAAGGAACTAAATTTGAGATCCAGGAATCAGCTAGGCAAAGGTGGAATATTTTTTTCAAACATCACGTCCTGGTATATGGTGGATATCTGCATCTGTATTTGTGGTTAACGGCGGCGGTGGCGGCCAACAACTGCTTGTTTGCTTGCCTCTGGTGCTGTCCTATGACACGGAGACGTCGTGCGCCACGCATGTCAGCTATACGTTTATAAAGCTGAATATAGAGCGCGAACAGCAGAGCGAGTACACAAAATAGACCGCAAAGGATAATGTATGTATTTGTTCGTGTGTGGAGGGTTGACTAAATAAGGAATAGGCTTTTTTATATTAAATTAATAAAATACAAATAGAAAGCTGCGCACTTTCGAATGGGTGGGACATTCGTAGATAATTTTAATAATTATTTTTTAATAAAAAAAAAAAAAACTAATTTAATCAAAACTCTTGCGCTGAGAGTCCTTTAGCTTTTCAGCTGTTGAACGTTGCATTGTCTGGCGCCTGCGCTTACACACACGGCAGGGGGAAAGTAATACCGTGCACTCTCAACAGGCTCATTACACTCATTATTATGGGGTCTGCATTGTGCCGAAATGACCATGTTGAATGTTTTTATGTGACCGCTTGCACGACAATGTGTGTGCACAGACATATAATTGTGTATAAAAAGGTGGCCAGGGTAAGTGTTGTAAAAAATCACAACTCTCAATCTATATGCAAATAAATTTAGCTCAATCTAATGAAGCTTTATATAAAACGAAGGTATTTGGCACAACGAATTATTGTTTTGTTTGTTAAGAAAAAAAGTCAAACTGTTCGCTTATAAATGCTCAGCTGATCAAAGAATTTTTAGGAAATTATGCATAAATTTTGGAATTTTGTGTACAAAATAATTTTAGTTGTATTTTTATAATTTTAGGGCAATTAAATCCTTAAGGCAGATTTCTCAACCTTAAGTTTAATAAGCGGATAACTGTCCTAATTTTCATCACATCATTTGCCGATTTAATTAAAAATAAACTTAGATTTTGTACGTTTCACGATTTCAGAATTTCATATGGCAAAACAGCTGATTAGTTTTTATTACCAATTATCCCTTCAGCATTGTTTAAGTACAATTTGACATATGAATTATAGCTACAATAAAATGAAGTGTTCTCTTTGGAGGGGTGCTGGGAACAATATTATATTATCTACGCTAATACATATGTAGACTTGTATGTAGATATGTATATATTTTAGTGGAAGCGCTAAGCGTGATGATTACAGTTGGAATTTTCGTTAACGCTTATTTGCGAACAAATAAT